TCCTGTTTATTCCCCGAGTTCCTCCTGTTTATTCCCTAAAGCATTGCAGAGAATGGGAAAGGACAGAAGTGTAGCAGGATAACCATGTGATACCTGGGGCAGCATCAGCTGCCACAGTGCCAATTTCTGTACACAGTTGGCCACTGCTGCGAACATGGCTGTTAGGTAGGGTACCTATAGCACTTCATGAACGTAGCTATACTGTTTCCAGGAAAGGAAGTAGCCATGGGCCACAGAACTGCACTAAGGTGGGCACACTAATCTGAACCAAGTGTGGTATAGACCATCATGTCTTGGATTTTGCTTTGTGAAAGTAGACTGCTTTACCTTCAGTTTGCTTCAATCCCTAACTCTATCATAATTTGCTAATATTATTTAAATTGGAGAAAAAGACACTCTGCTGGAAGATACAACCCAGCCTCCCTTCAGGTTAGTCAGGGATGAGGAGGCTGGCATGTTGGGTTTCTGACATCTAATCTAGTTTCTGAGGGCGATGTAAGGATATGAACATTTTGGTTTTCATGTTCCCTAGCAATTTCAGGGAAACAGCAACTGTTCTCTTGAAGGACTATCCAGCAGTTTGCATTGAATTAATGCCCCCACCCCCACCCCGCCCCCAAAAAAACAGTGTAAAAGATCATAATTCTATTGACTTCAGTAGAGCCAATGCCCATTTGACTTGCCCTAAAGACTCTTGTATCATGAATGACTAAGGGTTTTGCTGCGAGTAATATAGCTGCTTCTATAATCCTTTTAAGAGGGGAAAGCATCTTTCTATGTATCATTTGAGTCAGAGGAAAGCAGTACTTTATGCTATTGACTGCTGAGAAGGATTACAATTATTATTTTCTGTATACTTGCACTGCCTCAAGGACTATAGAATTAATAATAAATACATGCTAACTCTGTTTCTGTCTGTTCGGTCATGATATTTTCAGGCTCATATCCTCTGTAGATGCATAAGATAATGCGCTATGTGACAATAATATCTGTAGATCTTAAAGCATGTCACAAAGTAAAAAATATTATTCACATTTTATAAATGGAAAAATGCAAAGATAGAGACATTTGCCCAGTGTCACATAGTAAGTGGCAAAAAAGGGGAGAAACTGCTTCCAGTCCTGTGTTCCGTTGATGACAAGACTACACTAACTTTGCCCTATCAGGATTCTCGAATGTAAATGAAATAATAAAAACACAGTTCATGAATCTTTGAATTGTTCATTCAAAACGTTTAAAACAAAGACAATAAGACTATTTTCCTTTGTAGGATTTTGAGCTAAACAATGAGCTGAAAATGAATGTGCTTAATTTGCTGGAGGAGGTTTTGAGAGACCCAGATCTTCTTCCACAAGAAAGAAAAGCTACAGCAAACATATTGAGGTAAGGAGGATTGAATGAATTCAGTTTGATTGTAGAACATATTGTGAGATATCAGTGGCTTGTTTACTGTCTCTTTAGGTTTCAGGGAACACAAAGTGTTTTATGAACTGAAAAATAAACCACACAGAGAAATAACATTTCATCTACCAGCCACCTCTGGGGTAAAATGTAACAATTGTTTAACAGAATATAGCAATTTCTAAACCATTCTTAAAGCCAATAGCCATTCCTAAAACAAGAAGCAGAGAATAATTCATTTGAAACTGGAAAAGGATTGAGGGAAACGTAATTATCCAAAATGTAATTACCTAATTTTGAATTTGGTGAAAAGATTGTGATTTTTAATGACAACTCAGTGTCAAGTATGAATTATACAACTCAGGAGATACTCTTCCAGCGACACAGAGCCTGCTGACTCCATGCTGGATCTTGGTTCGGTGCTCACTCAGAGGGAAGAATTCTATGTACTGAATTGTCTGTATAGCATTTTCTGAAGTATTTAGGTATTACTTGGAGGTTTCTTACCGGAGTAATGAGCAATCCAACCAGCCTAATGTGGTATGAAATCTTAAATATGAGATATTTGTTCTAGGAGTGCTGAGACCTATGACTACAGTTCCTTGGCTAGCCTACAGGGGGAAATTATGGGTTAATTATATGCTATAAAATAAAAATAGTAAAAGTTTCTGTACAATCATGGTAATTTGCTTTTTAGGGTTAAAACAGAATGATATTGCAGAGCTGGAAAATATTTTTATGCAAATAATTGTATCCATATTGAGTGTATAGTATATTCAAATGAATTAAGATGACAAGGACGGATGTGTAGTTTTATTTATATATTTTTTAATCATCAAGAAATAATTAAGAGTAGAGAGTCAAGGAAAAATGATACCATGAAAAACCAGTACCATAGGATCTTATTGGAGCTTTCGAAAGTACAACTTCCAGAAAACCAGTACAGGTACAATGAATATCAAATGCTTCAATTCTCTACAAACATTGAACACATTCCCACATCAGTTATTTACATGAAAAGGAATGAGTCAGAAAATAAGTGGAAATGTGGTTTGGTGGATCAAAACTGCTTAAAGGGCAGGAAGTCATTTAAGATGAGAATTTGGTACCATTTTTGTGAGGCCTCCATTTATCATTTCATATTAGTGAAAAATAAATCCTTCATGCAATATGTTGTAAAAGTAACTTTAATAATAATAAGAAAAATAAGAATTACAATAGTGCTATTATGTTTTCTTGGAAGAAGCAGCCAGCAGGGACTTGATACCTGAACTGGAATGATTTAGCTGATTGTAGAGCGGTAGGTATTACTGATGCAATAAAACTCACCAGTAATCTCCCCCCTGGAAGACATCCTTGTGTTGAGGGATAGCCAGTGATGATTACTAATAAGTCTTGCAGCAAAGAATACATAGGGTGCCAAGGTGTAGGCAGACTGGTCACTGGGGTGGGGGTGAAGGGGTACTTCAAGATGCTTTGCTTCTGAACCAAATAAAAGCTTGAAGAAAAAGAGAGTTGAATGTTAATGGCAAGACATTTCATAGATTTCATAGACATTAGGGCTGGAAGGGACCTTGGAAGATCATCGGGTCCAAACCCCTGCCCCAGGGGCAGGAAGTCAGCTGGGGTTATAGGATCCCAGCAAGATAAGCATCCAGATGTCTCTTGAGGCGTTCAAAGTAGGTGTTTGAACCACCTCCGGTGGCAGTCTATTCCAGACCTTGGGGGCTTGGACAGTAAAGAAGTTCTTCCTTATGTCCAGCCTGAAACGGTCTTGCAGGAGTTTATAACCATTCGACCTTGTCATCCCTTGGGGCACTCTGGTGAACAGGCGTTCCCCCAGATCCTGGTGAACACCCCTGATAAACTTATAGGTGGCCACCAGATCACCCCTGAGCCTGCACTTTTCCAGGCTGAAGAGTCCCATAGCTCTCAGCGTGTTGTCGTAAGGTCTGTTTTCCTGATCTCTGATCATGCGCATGGCTCTTCTCTGGACTGTCTCAAGCTTCTTCACATCCATTTTGAATTGTGGAGCCCAAAACTAGACACAGTACTCCAGCTGCAGCCTCACCAAGGCTGAGTACAACAGGAGAATGACATCCTGGGATTTGCTTGAGAAGCATCTATGGATGCAAGCCAGCGTTTTGCTCGCTTTACTAGCCGTGGCATCACATTGAAGGCTCATATTCATCTTGTGGTCAATTATGACCCCCAAGTTCCTTTCATCCATAGTGTTAGCCAGCGTAGCACTGCCAAGCCTGTAAGCATGCTGCAGGTTTTTCCTCCCAAGGTGGAGAACCTTACATTTTTCGGTGTTAAACACCATCAGGTTCTCATCCTCCCATTTCTTGAGCCTATCAAGGTCAGCCTGGATCGCCCTTCTGTCCTCAGGTGTTGATGCTTTACCCAAAGTTTGGTATCATTGGCGAACTTGGACAGTCTTCTTCTGACTCCAGTCTCCACGTCATTAATGAAGATGTTGAACAATATAGTTCCAAGGACAGAGCCTTGGGGGATCCCACTGGTCACAGTGCACCATGACGATTGACTTCCATCAACCACCACGCTCTGGGTCTGACCACGGAGCCAATTTCCCAGCCAGCGGATCATGGTGGACCTGAGGCCACAGTTAGCCAGTTTTGCCAAGAGGTGATCATGGGATACCAGATTGAAGGCTTTTTTGAAGTCAAGATATCCGACATCAATCTCCTCTACCTTGTCTAGATGATAGATCACGTAGTCATAAAAGGAAATAAGATTGGTCAAGCAAGACCTACCCACAACAAACCCATGCTGACCATCCCTCAGGATGTTGCCATCAGCCAGTCCGTTAAGAATAGCCTCTTTGATAATCTTTTCTAACACCTTCCTCGGGATAGAGGTCAGGCTGATGGGCCTGTAGTTTGCCAGATCCACTTTCCTCCTTTTCTTGAAGATAGGCACCACATTGACCTTCTTCCAATCTTCGGGCACTTCCCCAGAGCACCAGGAGTTCTCGAAGATCCATGCCAGGGGCTGAGCTATGATGCTAGCCAGCTACTTGAGTACCCTGGGGTGCAGATTGTCAGGGCCGGCTGACCTGAAGTTGTCCAGCCTCTCAAGGTGTTCCTTCATGAGGTCAGCATTGATGGAGGGCAAGGAATCTTCCTCAGCCAGGCCTCCCTGTCCTGTAATGGGCAGATGTGTCCCATGGGACTGGTGAAAGACCGACGCAAAGTACCCTTTTGGTAGGTTGGCATTTTCCTGGGTGTCGGTTGTCATTTGTCCCATCTGGTTTAGCAGGGGTCCAATGTTGCCTTTGCTTTTCGTCTAGCTCCCCACATATCTAAAAAAGGACTTTTTTTTATCCTTGATACTTGTAGCTAGTTGGAGTTCATTCGCAGCCTTGGCTATCCTGGTTCGCTCCCTGCAGGTCTGAACTAGTGTGGAATATTCCTCCTTAGATGTGGATCCTGTCCTCTATCCTTTGTAGGTCTTTCTGTTTAGCCGCTGGAGGTCCTCTAGTTCCCTGGAGAGCCAAGGGGCCTGCTGTGCCCTTTTGCTGCATTTCCTCCGAGACGGAATAGCATTAGCTTGTGCATTGAGGATCACTCCCTTGAGGAGCAACCAGTCTTCCTGAACTCCCCTCCCCTTGGGGTCACGGTCCCTTAGGGCCTCACTGACAAGCCTCCCGAGCTTGTCAAAGTCAGCTTTGAGCTTTCCTGAAGTTAAGGACTTCTGTATTACTGACTGACTTGCCAGCTTTACAGCGGATGGTGAAGGTGATCAGCTCGTGGTTGCTCTCACCCAGCTTCCCATAGATCGTTCGGTTGCTGATTAGGTCGTCCCCGATTGCCAGTACCAAGTCGAGCAGTGCTTTACTTCTCATTGGCCCGTAGACTTATTGTGTCACATAGAAGTCATCCACGCATGAGAGGAAGCTTTGCAACCACTTGGATTTAGCTGAGCTCTCTTCCCACGAGATGTCTGGGTAGTTGAAGTCTCCCATGACAACCATGGCCCAAGAGCATGCGGCTTCAGCCAGTTCCCTGGTGAACTCCTGGTCAAGCTCTTGACTTTGGGTGGGAGGTCTGTAGTAGACTCCCACCATTGTGTCCCCTGTGCCATGTTCCCCACGGATTTTAACCCAGAGGGTCTCAAGTCATCCACCGTGGGTGCCAATATTGGCTTGCAGGGACACGTAGCTCTCCTTGACATAGAGAGCTACACCCCTGCCCCTTTTGTCCACTCAGTCTCTCCTGTACAGGGTATAGCCGTCTATACCTGTGGTCCAGTCATGGGTGGAGTCCCACCAGGTCTCTGTTATCCCTATGACTTTGTAATTATTTGTGTTAAGCAGGAGGACAAGTTCCTCCTGTTTATTCCCCAAGCTCCTGGCATTTGTGTACAGGCAGGCAAGTGTCCCCTTGGGGGCTCTTGCATTGCCTACAGATTGTTCCAGGGCTGGGGCAGGGGTGGGTTCCCTTAAGTGCCTTGGCCTGCTGGCTTTGCAAGTGTTGCTCAGTGGGCCAGCAGTGGCGGTAGTCCCCCCATCCCCCAGCAAGCTTAGTTTAAAGCCTGGTGGAGCAAGTCAGCCATTCTGGCTGAGAAGAGCCTCCTCCCCAGTGGAGAGAGGTGGAGACCGTCCCTTCCCAGCAGCTCACAGCCTCCCTCACCAAAGAGCGGGCTGTGGTCATGGAAGCCAAAGCCTTCCTGATGACACCAGCGCCACAGTCTTTGGTTTACTACCTGAATCCTCCTCTCCCTCCTCAGCCCATAGCCTGAGACTGGGAAGATCAAAGAAAACACCACCTGTGCCTCCAGACCCTTTAGCCCCACTCCCAAATCCCTGTAGCATTTCATGACCCAGCTGGGAGCACTCTGAGCCATGTCATTGGTGCCCACATGGATAAGGAGCATAGGATAGTGGTCAGTGGGCTGGAGGAGCTTAGGGATCTTCTCCTCAATGTCTTGGATACGGGCTCCTGGAAAGCAGCAGACTT